TGACTTATTTTTAAACCAAACGAACTCTGAATCTGATAGACAAAGACAGATAAATTTTCAGTTAAAGCCTTGGAGATGGACGAACTCATAGCAGAGTAACTGAGCTCCTTTACTGTAGAGAGACAAAAACAGTGGTTAAGGACAACACCAGTCAACAGACAAGAATGGGAATTCCTGGAAAAGCTGCAGCAGAAGCAACAAGTCACTGGAGAGACCTTTATAATGTGGAAATTGTTAAAGCAGCCAGTTTAATATTCACCTTTACATGCTACATTTTTAAACGCACTGTCCGTTGTAGTGGGACCTGTAATTTCTGTAGTATGTGATTCCTATATTGCTCTGGCCCTGTAAAACTCTGCATCTTACTTTCTAGGTGAGCTGTCTTCAGGTTGTTAAGGCTGGTGGCCAACACCTACACAACAGGAGGCAGGATACAAGAAACACGCTTGCAGTGGGAAACAGTTTCAACCAGGCTACCTGAAACAGGGGAACAAGTCTGACTCCAGTTAATGCTTTCTCTTTCTGTTACCACCTTATATCACCACTACCCTGGCCACGTCGTCACAGGTGTACTTGGCTCTCACACAACTGGGATCCACACAGCTGAGTTACAACAGTTCATCCAATGCTAATCTAGATGCTTTTTGTTGGTGATTCCATCCATATAACTCGAATGTTGTTTCACAGCTATTCTTTCTCTTTCACCACAATCAGGAAAATTTATAAACCAGGAGTAGAAGCTCCATCTTCAAGTTGTTCAAGCTTTAAGTATAGGTGAAAACAAAAAAAAAAATATATGCAGGCTGTTTACTGCTTTAGACTTCTTGATTTTGTGATCTGCATTATATAAAACTGTATTTTCTTTGCAGGAAAGAGGTAGATCAATCTCACTCGTTACAGGTGCTCCAAAGTTTGTCACCCCACAAGGACACAGATCTCTGGCATGAACCAGGTATAGGCATAGAAGCACAGAGAAATTTATATTAGAAGTGGTTTCTGGATCACCCAGTCAACCTCCTGCTCAAAGCAGGACTCATATCACATTTACAGCTGAGTCTTGACAAGTCTCCAAGGATGGGGATGTCACAGCCTTTCTGGGCCACCTGTTCACGTCTGGCCAAAGTGAATTTTTTTTCCTAGTATGACCTTCCTTTGTTGCACATGAGTCTGTTACCTCTTGTTTTACCCCTGTGCATCTCTGAGAGGGGTCTGGCTGTTTCTGTAACTCCCTATCTCTTTTAAATGGAGGCTGATTGTTATTAATTCCTGCCTTAGCCTTCTCTTTCCAGGCTCAATCATTTTCCTCACTAACTTTGTTAGTTGTTCTTGCACTGGACTTGCTGCAGCTTTCTGACATTTCAGGGTGAGTGCAGAATTGGACACAACCCCTAGACAAGATCTCATGAGTGTTGTGTAGAGAGGAATAATACCTTCCCTTGACCAGCTGACACTCCTCCTAGTGCTGCTCAGCATGCACAAGACACTGCTGACTCAATGCTTATGGTCTCCCTCAGATCTCCGAGGTAACTTTCAGTGGAGATGCTACTTGGATAGCTGGTCTCCTGTTCACACTGATACTCCAGGATTTTTTTGTCCCAGGTGCTTGACACAGCACTTCTCATTGCTGAAATCTTGGGAGGTTTCTGCAGAGCATACCAAGGTCCTTGTGAATGGCAGCCCTGCCTCCAGCCAGCCAACTGCTTTACCCAGTTTTGGGGCATACTAGTCAAAGGTCCACTCCAATCAGCTGGTACATCCACCTTGCAGCTCCTGCAGTGTATGTGCTCCTGTAGTTAACAGTTTACTTTGGAAAAAAATGATTTTTTTTTCAAAATACTGGCAGCACAACAGTAGCAGAAGTGTGAACTGAGGAAAGCATTTAGACTTCTGCAGCTAAACTCACCAACACAACAGCAGCACATAAAGGTTAGCTTGGATGCTTCTATATGAGGCACATATTATTGTATAAGCAAAATTGTGAAGAACTGAAGAGCCATGAAAACCCTTAGCAGAACAGAGGGAAAAAAAAGGCCTACAAGCTAGGAAGTGAAGAAGTGAGATTTAAGAGAGACTAGAAAACAGTTTGTTTTGTAGTCATGAACCTCCTCTCCCATCTGGTATTTATGCTGCACACACACAGAAACACAGAGCCACAAGTGCCTGCATATATATTTCTACTCTCTGAATTTCAAGGCACACAGAAACAATTAAGTCACCTAGATTTTAAAAGCAGATAAAATATTTCTTTAGATGCTTTTCTGACATCTGCAGGCAGTTATCAGTTTGGTTTCTTTAAGTCAGATTGTTTGCCTCAGGCAGACACAGAAAAATCTTACACTAAAAAATAAAAACATCCTTGAGATGAAGAGAAGAATTGCTAAAAGGAGTGGCAGAAAAGAGATTGTCCTGCCTGGTAAAACCAGAGAACCTGCAGAGTAGGACTGCTCAATGGGGCCAGCTACAGCATTACCTGCCAAGTCACTCACTCTCACAGACTGGGAACTAGCAAGCGAGAGACACAGCCAGTTGGCTTTGGCGGAATATTTAGAGAGGATGCAGAGGCTTATTTACTGAATAATCTGGAGACCATCTGGTGGTATCCAGCGACAAGAACATTGAGCTGAAAGTAGAAAAGCCTGAGCTCTATTTTTGGCTCTGCCAACTATTCTCTGTGACCTCTGGTGGCTCAGTTTGCCCATATAAAAATTAAAAAAAACCCCTACTCTCTTCTCTAGGAAATTTTGATACTTCAGTAAGAATTCACACTTACTACTATTTCAGTAGTATGATTATTTATTTACATTATCAATAATCACTTCAGAGTTAATTGTTAGAATATTTTTTGAATCTGAGTTTGCTCCCTGTATTAACAAAAAGATTACCTCAATGGAGGTAGGACATAATGTGGAGTTAAACCAAAAGAACTTCAAAACAAGCTGGACAGTCTTCTTAATTGGGACATTTCTAAAATAAAGAGATCCTTCTTTTTCTTCAGAAAAAAATGCACATAAATCACGTGAAGGAAAAGTCTGTACATCTTACCGGACCTTCCCCACATCCAGCCTAATGCTCATTACCATTACTGAGCTGAAAAAAGAATAATCTAAAATACTCCTGAGTTCTGAATTTTTTACCATTTTGCTGAACCTTTAACTAATCATCTGTAGGCAGTTGAATAACCAGATCAATACCCACAAGACATGCTGATTCCCTTCACCACTAATCTACTCTGTTCAGAGGCCCACAGACTTTCAGACTGATAGCGGTAGATAGATATCTTGTTAGATTTGCTTTCTTTTCTCCAAACGCCACCATTTACCATAAGGGTAACGCAAAATCAACCTGATGCAGGAATAACACACCAAAAAAATCCTGTCAAGGAACAGTAGGTCTTTAAGAAAATCTCCAGATGACTAAAAACTAGCACTAATTCAGACTCTGATTCAAGCCAAAAAGAAAATTTCTGCTGCAAGTAAAAACCTGCTATTCCCATTGAAAGTGTTTAGTTGGACTCTTCCATAGGTAATAACACAGTGGAAGTAGAGAGTTTCTGCCTACCAGGAGGACTCCCACGCAAACAGAACCCAGACACCTCCCACTTTCTTCCCACAGAACTGGTCACCCTTGTCTAATCTCCTTAAGTCATCTGGTGTCTCACTGGGGAGCTGCTATCTAGGACAAAGAAATCTGTAGGGATGCTGGCAAGAGTGGAAAGTGAATCTTGTGACCGAGTGCACTGGGGCTGAGCTGCTCAGGAAAATGGTAACGAAGTGGAGGAGCTCTATTTTTAATGGGGGACAAAGGCAGAAAGGTAAAAGGAGGACCTGACCTCCCTTGGTGGGAGGGAGAGGAAGAGAGAGAGGAAGGAAGAAATGCACTTCTTCTCACAGATACACAAGTCAATAACTAAACAGAGAACAATGAATTTTAAATTTAAACACCAAGTTATTTTTTCAACAATGGTTCTGTATATGATAGCACCAAACTACAACCGTTCTTTGCTGATGCTGGAAGAGATCCAAGATACTTCAGGAAGAAGTTGGGTCTTCAGGTAAGTAGATTAACTTTTATGTAGTATGTAAGATTTTCCAGACAATGTGTAGACTGGAAAAAAGCTTGTGTTGAGATCCACGTTTTTTAGGAAGTGGAATAAAAATAGCCAGAGGCTGCAGCACCTAAACCAAGTCCTGGAAATTGGGTAGTAGACTCCAAAATAAAAATAAGGCATACTGCTTGGAAAGCATTTCAATGGGAGAATAATACAAACCCATAAAATTGAATCTCTTTTCTTGTACTGCAATCACAGGACTGCCTGAGCCTGCATGATACTACATATTTTACAGTGTTTGTATCCCTGCAATTTATGCAGAGATTAATAAAGTATGGCAGGATATACTTACAAACTATTTAGGCAGCTTTACAATTCAACCAACCCTGCTGACAGGGGAATAGGAAGGGGGAAATCACTTTATTATTCATTCACTGGACTGAGAAAAGTACTGTATGACATGGAATGTCATTAAGAGGTTACTAGGGACACACACAAAAAATTTAACTGCCTGCTTGCTTGTATTCTTTTTCTAAAGGACTTCTAAATTCACACATTAAAGTCTCTTTATACTAATATTTTGCATACATTACAGTAAGATCATATTAAGCAAGATGACAATCTTACAATGTATTTATTTTTAACGTTGCTAAACTAAGACTAGTGCAATAGATTTTTGTGCATGTGTAAATCCATCTCCATGTTTTGTGAAATAATTCTGTACTGCAAAAAAATGTTACAAATTATCCAGTTACTCTTGATACAGTATAAAGGCTCAAACATATAAACCCCATACTTTTCTTGTTTCTATCTCTTAGTTCAGTTGAAATTCTACTTTGAAAAAGTAAATTCCTCCAAATATTAATGAGATTAATGGAATTAAGTTAGTTAGAATATTTAATAAACACTCTCAACTGTTATCACCAGATTTTCTCACATTTTCGATCAATACTATTTTCTAGTTATGCTGAATGTTTTCAGAATAAGGTTTGCCCATAAGAAATTTAAGACTATGATATGAAAATTGAAATGATAACTGCAACTTTTAATGAAGAATTATCATGTTTGAAGAAAGCATACCTTCAAACTACTTAGCTATGAACTGAATAATCTCATCTCAAAATTCATTAAATGCTCAGTAATCTGAAAAGCACTACATTGCTCGTGTCTTATCTGCAGTAAGGAAAAGCAGAGCTCTGATGTAATTCACTGAAACAGCGATATCATATTACACTTGTATTTGTAAAATGGCTATTTACTTTCACTTAAAAAACAGCGATCTTAAATTACAAAAAAAAAGTTATTAATGTAGTATTTCAGGCTTCAACGCAAGTTTTTAAACACTATTCAATGTACTTAAAATATCAAACCATCAGTATCATGGAGGATAGAAGTTTCAAAGCGTTCTGTCATCAGGAACCCTCTATAAATTTCCCTTCAGCAACAGCAACTTTCCCCTACTTTGAACAGCATAGCATGAAAATGATGGCTGAGCAACTCTGCATTCTGTACCACCCACAACCACTTTGGCCATCCCAAGGCAACTATTAATTCACACTACATGAAACAGACCTAGGACAGTTCTTGAACGAAAACAGAGTTTGGGTACCTTGCAAGTATTGGCTCCTGATACCATTAGCAGTTTTGTCACTGGAAGGCATTGTCACAGCCTTCCAGCTAAAAGATATGGCTGAACTGCACCTCAGTTTATGATTTTTCAACAAAAACTTGAAGCACGTCTGTTTAGCCATTAAGCTCTGCCTAATTTAGAACACCTATTGAAGGTTATTTTTGTTTTAACACACCATTGGATCATAAGTCTTCTGTATTTTGCTGTAACAACTTTTCACAACAGCTATCCTCTTTCCCTGTTACATTCATTTGATGAATCATGAGAAAAAGCTGCAAGTAATGTTTCTAGCTAGCAGCACATACTTCAAGTGAACTTTTTAATGTGGATGTATACATCAAGAACTATCTTATTGTGGACTTAATGACATGACATTAAAGGGGACGCCAATTAAAATGTACAAATCCATAAATTTGTAAAATTTAATGTTAAAAATCTGTCATTTTTCTATTTTAAAAGTTGTTATTTTCTCTAATGATTGTATTTTAAAGGTGGTTTAGAAGTGATGAAACTTTAAAAATGAGACAATCACTACAAATCTGACTGGCACTGGTGATGATAGATATCAACCCCAAATCCTATGCTGTTCTCCAGCAAATCATACACTTTATGTTGATGATACTGACGTAAGACAGGATCTTTTGATGAAGTGCAGGACATAGAACATCTTCTTCCACAGCATGCTCAGGGAAATTAACTTCTTCATCTAATATATACTTACATACTATTTTTATAGTTAAAAACTTTTCCATCTCAAATTAGCCATGTACAGTTTGAATGTGCACATACTTGTGAAAATCAGTCTTATGCTTTGTGCACAACTAGAAGGACAGAAATCGAGATGTGTTATGCTAGACTGAAGCAGGCTGGCATAAAAGTTCATACAAAAAACCCAGAAGGACTGAAATGAAAGATTCAGTAGTTGATACAAACATTTTACAACTTGTTGGAAGAGCAAGAAGATACATTAACAAAGATGACACAAGATCCACTTTTTCACAGAACATTATTCAGAAGACTCTATATCTAGCAAAGACAGACTCATGCAGCAAAACACTGGGGCAATGTTACACTCAACATTCTGCACCTGGGTTCATCACTCTGCCCATCTGTTCATAAGAATTCACTTATTTTAACTTATGAGCAGAAAACCTTCCATTCTCCTTGAGAATGAAAAATATTATGCACAGTACTTAAGTACTCCACAGTACTTACAAAATATACTGTCTTGAAGGAGAAAGGTTATTGGCAGCCATAAGCATAAAATGTGACCATAAGCATAAAATGTACATGTCACATTTAGATTTCAATTGTAGCTTAATTTCTCAATCTGTTTCAGCCCTACTGCCAAGGTATGCTGTCTCCTCAGCTTTGTTTCCTAAGGAATGGTGACTTACACTGTCAGATCCCCTGTCTGACAAGCAATCATGGCTTTCACCTAACTGCAATCCCTTGGCCAGTTCCAAACAAATGCCACAAAAAGGCAGAGGACTCAAAGAAGGCCTCCAAGTCTAACAAGAGTGCCCTTGGCTGGAGAAACAGGTTGGTTTGACACCTCCTCAGGGAAGGGAAGTTTGTGCTGATGGACACATGGTCTGAGCAGCCAGCCAGCACTTATTCACCAAAACTGCCATGACATGCACTGCCTCTTGTCCACCTAGAAGGGGACTAGGATTACCCTGAGGAGAATCAAGCAATAGATGTGAAGGAGAAATGGGCTATTTATTGTCACTGGAGAAGTAAGCTAGGTGTCTACAACATCTACAGACAACCAGAATTCATTAGCTACATTACTTAGAGAACAAATTACACTCTACAGGACTGAAAAAAACCCACTGAAAGCTCCTGGTGAAGACCAAAAGCAAATTATGCCAAGTACATACCCCATTCTTCAGCTAGGAAGAAAGACAGGAGAAGGAATGGAGGAAATGAGATTTAAGTTACTTGCAGGAATTGTACAGAGATCCGAGCTGACTGCCAGAATATGCCTATTTTTCACATTAGGGACTATTTACTAACTCGATCTGTACTTCAAATGCTAGTACTATGTACCAAGGGTGGCAATATAAAACTATGTTAGCTCACTTGTACAATATCCACATATAGTTATATTGAGTCACTCTTTAATATTATATGTTCTATGATATATACTACATAAATCTTGCAGAACATTTCCCCCAAGTCTAAGAAACTTTTATGGTGACCATCATCATTATAATTCCACAGAACAAATTTAAGATACAAATCACAGCTTTTTTAGCAGCTTCAGCAACCTCAGAGCACAATAAATCTTTGGGCTGGCTATTTAACAGAAACTTCTGTAATCAAAGACACAAACAACACAGCAATCCAAGATAAAGTCAAAATTAGATTTAAATTGTATTTCAAAACTCAAGTACCCACTAGAGATATAGAAGTCTTATTGCTATACTGCAAAATGTTTGAAAACTGCTTTTCCAGCAGCAAACATTTATTAACTAGATGGAATGTTCCCATCCCACAAAAAGAAGTCTTTGTCTTAGTGCGTCTTTAGGAGTCCAAAACAAAATATTTGTTTTGTGCTTACTGTGTAAAGCAAATTAATATGGATAATCCGAAATAGTCAGAAATAAAAATTGAGTCCTAACGAACATGGCTTTGCTTCCGGTCACTAGAACTTTCAAGACACGTAGTGAGTGAAGACAAAAAGGGTCCAAATAGGTTAATGACAGAAAAAGAAAAAAAGTCATCTACACATCAGAATAGTTAATAATTTTGAAGACTACGACTAGGTTTACAGGAAAATTAAAGCTGGAAGTTATTCAGTTCCATATTGCATCTAAAGGTATCAGTTTACAGTCAATTTTTAAATTGTTTTCTTTATGACAATGCGTAAAACAGCATTTCTAAAATTCATCTGCTAGAAAGGTGCAATTTCTTGACTAGATAAAACATGAATGTCTCTGTAAATATGTGTGTGCTGTTTGTTTTTCTAATATCACAGACTGCTGTTTTCTTGCTATCTAGCTTTTTTTTGTAAAATACATTTTGATACTTTTAGACCCGGGACAGGCTTCCAGCTTCTAAATGACCTGCAGTGCAATTTACTGTAGTGTGTACTGTACAAAGTTCTTTGGTATCCACAGGAACAGTTACCAACTGATGTGAACTTCCTTCCCTAAAGAGCTTGTTTTGAATAACAAACTACTCCAGGGGGAAATACATTATCTTGTCTAATCAAATGTTCAAGTGAAGCTTATTTCATTCCAGGGTTTTACTATGCATTGTGGAAATGTGTGTGACACTGACCTGTAATTAATCTCAACCTTAAAGGAAGACAGTAAAAGCTTAGCCGGCCAGATTGTGCATATAATTTTAAAGCTACATTTAAAGGGTTTAAAGAATTAATCGAAATCTCCTATTTTTTTTCAGTGACTGCGTTCTCTAAGATGTTTGCTTTTATGTAATCCATATAAAAGGTTTTCGTAAATATCAGTAGTTATTTGTTCTTACTTTGCTCAACCAGGTTTAAAATACAGATGTTACTGATATATGGTTTATATTACCAACATGCTTCCTTTTACCCAAGTGTATTTATCCAGTGCTTTTTGATTAGCTGGAAGTGTTTCCCACTGAGAAACATGTACTTTAGACAGAAAACAATTCAACAGAACAGTATCACATACATGTAGGGCAAAAGTTCATTTTTCACGTCAGAGAGCTCGTGTCAGGTAAAAATATAACTCGGCCTCTTGTGATGTCTGCGCAGGTGGCATGAAGCAGAAACAGCCAAGTCATTCCTGGGAGACCTTCTGCTGAGGAGACATCTTTGGGGCAGTTTACTGCCCAGCTCCCACCAGGGCAGCAAAGGACAAGTCAAGGATAGCGAGGAAAGAAGAGGAAATGAGGGGAAATATTGAGGTGCCTTCCCCAGCAACCTCCTTCCTTCACCTCATCCGTCCCAGAGCAGATGTCCCTAGACAGGAGAACAGAGTATCTAGCATGCTCATGGAGAGTTGGGAAAGCAAAGCAGGAAAACCTTTCTGACGCTGTGAAAAGCACTAATAAAGAAAGAAATATTCTGATTACTCAAGTATGCAGTGTTGATTATGTGTACCCATAAAAAAAGGAAGAAACCTACATAATTCTTGGTAAACAGCAATTAATGCTGAAAGTTTTTGACACTTCTTTCAGACTACTGTCAGAAAGTCAGTACAGTAACACTTTAAATAAAATAAGCAGTATAATAAACAACATCTCAAAAACTGGTGCAATACTCAGGTGTATACATTTGCTGTAATGGACAAATACTGTTTTTACAGTAAACACTTTACTAAATGCATACGAGATATAAAGCCCTTGGAAAAATGAGAATAAATCCATTAAACCCCAAATTAATGCTTTTTTTGCAACTGATGCAAACCAATTGTATTATATTCCTTGAACATTCTCTACCTGCACATTGAAGAGTCACAAGTTTCAAGTATTTTTAAAAATGGTACTAATGATTCAGTTCCAAGTCTTATTCTGTTTGTTTTTGATGTATTTTTGACATCCATTCAGGTAAATGAGAAAACAAGCTAGCTATTTATCTTCCTCACTGCTAATTTTCATTTCTAGTTGGCTGCAGAGGTTAATTCTAAGTTGGTTGGCTTTCAATCACATTTTCTATCTACCACTTTGTAAACTTTCTTGGAAACTTATTTTGATCTTAAAAAAAATAACAACATAACAAAACCTGCTTAAATTAAAACTTTAACTTTAAGTAAAATGTCATTATTCTTGTTTTGCACTTATTTTGAAGAATAAAGTAACAATATTGGCTTCTATTGATATAACATTGTTCTAGTTTTGAACATGTAGGATGTTTATATTTTAGATCATTTATGTTTAGACACAGATGGAGAGCAATTTTATTCTAGTCTAAAGCGGTTTGATTTTTTGAACAAACCTGGTGACAAACATTCTCATGCCAATGTTTTACTTCACATAGTAAAAAAGTGAGTTTCCTTTCCACGTGTCTTTTTACATGCTCAGGAAACATCACTAGTAGATTTTCCTTGTGATAAGAGAGGATTCAGATTTTGGAGAACCAAAGATGGAAACTAAGGTAGAGGATGGCAGTAATACAATTTAAAACAAATTATAAATACTGCTAGATGCTGAGAAGCCTTCAGCTTGCCTCCACATAGTACTTGTTATTAAATATTCAGCTTATAATAATTAATATATTAAGTATTCAGCTAAGATGGCATCAGTACTTTTGCAAAGACTGATATTTTCTCCTTCCATTTTTTCTGGTTACATAAATTCAGATTGAAATGCAAAAGAGGTTTTATTTTTCCTCTTTCTTCCTCCATGAGAAAAGAGATGAAATAATTTAATGCTTGAGTTAATACAGGCATAGATACTAGGGTTGTATTTACCATTTTTGGCAGGAGTTGAAAAGTTCAACCGAAAAACTTCACTGGACTTTATGAAGACAAAACATTAGATCGTATCATGTTTGCTCTCCATTTATCTCCTAAACAACACAATTTAGCTTAGCTAAAATCTGAATTGACCCTCAGGCTTTTTAAGTGTATATATTGTGAAACTTCAGGAGCTTCAATGATCCTGTGGAGAGCCCTTTCCCTTCTGGATAGCCACAGGCTCCCTTACATTATCAGATAACACCTTTTACAAGGAGTAGCTGGTAGAAATGAGTTGATTTTCTTGTGGTAGAAGCCTTTCCCAGCTTACAGAAAGAAAACCATCATGGATTCTGTCAATAAAGGCAATGTGGTCTCACACTTGCTATGATGCAACTGGAAAAATTAAAAAAGGGTTAATAGGGGAATCTCACTGGCATATAAGCCAGAACTTTCACCTGATCAACAGCCATGATTCATTTGTTCTTTCAGTTAACCTATTTAAAAATTAATCAGCATAGTGCTGATATGGAATATATTGGAAAGTAATCTCTTCTGGAAATGACTTCTTAAATCTTGTATCAAGAAGGCTTCTGCAGGGCACTCTAGAGCTCTTTCTAGGCTACTATCCTTTTTCCAACAGTGGATGCCCAAGAAGAAACGGGCAAGGTCAGGACAAGGGTACATAACAACAGTCTTCCAAGACTTCTCAAGAACCTGAGCCAAACAGGCTTTCTACATACTCAGGAGCCCACAGCTGATTTCTGTTTTGTGAACTCTGAACTCATCCCATCTCCTCCAAAGGCCATGTGAACTTCATAAAATAGATTTGATTCTGCATACTATCTACATAGTACTACTATCTACATACTATCACTGACACAATTGCACTGGAACAATGCTCCATTCTTACTTTACAACCACAGGAACACTTGTGCTGGTTGATCCAATACCATGGGAAAATGTAAACATAATTTAAATGTATAGATAGATAGATAGATATAGATATATATATATAGGTACCCTTCTCTGCCATGTCTTTGGTGATCAATAACCCCTCATGGGATTTCTGCATACCTATCTCGTGTATTTTCAGTAAAAATAACAGAGTAGTAGAGCAGAAGTGCCTTGCAGTTACACAACAAAACCAAAAGAAAAGAGTTCTCGTGACATAAGGCTCAAACAGCCATGTAAGTCTTTTGTACACTCAAGTTCATGTGAGTGGATTGCTTTTGAAAGGCATCAGACTAAGCCTTAAAGCTTCAGTCCACAAAGTTAAGTTTAGAAATAACTGCAGTGAATGTAGCTGTGTTTACTTATCCAAAAGGGCAAGGGTGAGCAACACAGACCTGTTCTTATACCATTTAACCTCTGCAAGGAATGTCAGTCTTCACATCAGAAGAAGCAAAACCAACACACTGTGCTGGGTTTCTTCTGGCACACAGATTCTCAGTGGCTTTTGGTCTGACTCTAATCTCTGCCCGTAGGTACAGAGGTGGAGGAAGCAAGCCTGCTTGTTTAGATACCATCACCTTCCCATTACATCCTACTCCTTGTTCCCATCTCCGCTTTCTTCTTCTCCATTTTGTGTTGCCTGCCCTCAGTAAAAACCATGGAAATGATCCACACTAAAAATAACTCCTCCCTCCACTTCATTTGAGGCTAAACAAACAGCTTTACCAGGACACAGTTGAGGGCACAGAGCAGACATAAAAATGGGAAAGTGGAGTGGATAGTGATGGGGGAGGGTTGGAGGGAGGAGGACAATGGCTTAGCCTGGCAGCATTGTTGGAACAAAGGCACATGAAACTGAACAGTAGGCACTTCTTAGCTGCCCAGAGCAGCAACGTGATTCAAAGACTGATGACTTACTTAAAATATAAAACCTGAAGGGAAAAATAATTGATGTAGAGGCATGAAAAATTATCACATGAGCCTAAGCATCTCAAAAAAGTAAATGAATTCCAAAGTCACTTGGCCAGTGATATACCCTCCAGTCTTGAAACATCACGTCCCAACAATAACCCAACCTTTCCACACTGGAAACACCTGCCCAGAAAGAATATGCACTGACAGAACTGGGCCAGTCCTCACCTATAGCAAACGAAGAGTGCTCAGAGCAAACCTGCTAGGAGCAAATGCCTGGAATTCCCCCCAAGTCAAGCCGACTGTTAAGAGTCACAAATTTCTCCCTACTTCATCCTCACATTCCATAGAGCAACTCTCCATAAAGCGTTGAAACTTTTTATTTTAAATTTCCCTCTTACTGTCTGGAAGCATGCAAAACAGTATGTTTTTACAAAAAAAACCCCCAAAACTAATGCATCTAATTAAGCTATTTGCAAAGATGTTTTGTTGTTTCTATTTTGGAAAGGGAAAAAGTAAAAGAAAACTTCATTTATTGCATATCTCTGTATTTCTCCCAGGATTCCAACTCCTAAAGTTTAAGTATGTTGACATCTATCATGTAAGCATGGATCAGGAATGGTGTAACCATGACATGTGCCTGTACTTATAATAAGCTCACCACTCCTAAAAATTACAGAACCAAAAAAAAAGATATGCTTTTCAATGTGACAATTCTTTGAGTCAACAACATTGCAAGATGCAAATCAGCATTTTTTCCTTCAAATTCATTCCATTAGGAGAGTAGGAACTACTCCTAGTGGGAATGTGAAATGGAAGTTGTCTCTTTTTCTAACAGATTTTGCTATCACAAGCAGGAGAGCTAATGAAACCTCATATACTGTGATCGGTGTCTGTAGTTCTTCAAACCTCTCACTAGCAAAGTCAACAGCTTTGTCCTAACTCTGCTCTCAAACCCCTCTTCAGAAGACAAATGCAAACCACACATCTCCAAAAAGCCTCAGGACTATCAAGGATGGCACTTGCAACAGGACTCAGGAGTTTACTTCCTTGTGGTGATAGCTGAGAGCTGCCACCAATATTTCAAAGCTACTCACCTGTTACCCTGCTCCTGGAGAACCTTCTCACTGATGCCACAGATTTGAAACAAACCTTTTTTATCCTCCAAATTCTATTTTCATTTCCACATACTCCAGGGGCTACAGCTAACCCCCTCTGACCTGGCTTTTTCACCCCATTGTTAGCCATCAGATGTCCTAGTTCTTGAACTGATTAGAATCTTATACAGAAATAGGAAAAGTCTTAAATGCACATACGTGTACCAGTGCACACACATGGTAACAAAAACCCCTGCTTGTTGGTTTGAATTGAAAATATCTGCAGGCATGCTCTTTGCTTCTTTGAGCCTTTAGAGATAATACTCCTGACTGCATTACTTCCCTCAGTCATTTTTTTCTGCTTTTAGGGAGGAAAATATTAGGCCCTGTCCAATTAGGAAACGTGTGTAACTCTCCAGAAGAAGTGAATCATGCGCATCTTGCCAGGAATTAGCTTTAAAACAGTCAACATGTGGAAGCACAAGAGAGTTTTGTGCATGCTATGCTAGAGTCTGCTACACTGTCTGAAATAGCTCCCTGAAGAACATGCACTATTTAAGAGAAATTATCACTGTCTGTTTATACAACATGTCCATTACAAAATTAGTTAGATAACTAATGAAGTTCTAGATTTATTCAAGACATGATTACAGAAGATTTAGTTTTGGAAAAGAAGTCCCAGGAGCTTTCAACCAGCCTGCCCATAGAAGCCCTGTGAACAGAAAATGGCAAATGTGAAAGACCAACTGACATGACCTTGTGTCTTCCAAAGTTTCCCAGATTTTCAGAAGTTAACTTCTTGAGCATGAGGTGATTCATGTCACTGAAAATGCAGACATAAGTGCCTGAAACTGGGCAGTTGTATCTCAGTGTATTTATGAGGCTATGATCATTAAATTCACTGTTGCAGAATATCCCAAACGTGAACTACCATGCACCACAGAAGAGAGGCATTTTCTCTTCTCCTCAACTTCATTTCCTCCCTCTGAAAAGACAGACACAAGAATATGTAATTACAGCTTTTTAAATACTAAAAATTGTATTTGGCTCCCTTTCCCTTTCAACTCGGAGTGATCTCTTTCCAAGAGTAAACATACCAAGTTTACTTTATCTCCTCTTACTCTTGATGCTCTCCTCTGGACTCCATTCGTGTGCTTCTTTTTAAGTTCAGTTCCCAAAATTAGACACAATAGCTGAGGACTCACCATTGCCAAAGAGAATGGCATAATTACTTCATGCTTTTTTGTACAACAGCCTTGTTAATGCATCCCAGAATGAGTTAACTTATTGTTTGTGGTTCATTAAGACAACAAAGAATTTTTCCTTCACTACAAGCAGTTTCTTTGCATCCTGTATCCTCTTCCATTCCCTTCTCTAGAGACCTTCTGTTTATTCCTGAGAGGCCACCAGAAGGGAATGACTGGCTGACCTGCTGGAGACAACCATGTTTGACAGACTTTAATGTACAGAATTAGTATTACCAAGATCCTATAGCAACTTGTTTTTAATTCCTTGTACTGCTAAAAAAACCCTGAAAAGTGGAACAGAATTGAACTATTTTCTTTGAAATGCGCTAGTCACAACTGGTAGAGAAAATATGGTGAAGAGAGGTACAGATTTAAAAATGTAAAAAGTGAATAACAAAGTAAAAAGAGGCTTTCTCTAGTAGCCACTCCTTAGTATTTTTGCTTTTTTAATCACAATCTACAACCCTTTTTCACACAAACCACAAGTGCTGAATCATGTAAGACCTAAACTGACATAAAAGTAACAAAATTCTGCTACTTGCAGCGTTTTCCCAAGGGAGATCAAAAAGTTCAGACCATTTTCTCTTAGTGACACACAACATCAGGAACTATGAAGAAAAAAAAAAAGGGGTATTTTGTATTTTTAAACATCTTATTTCTCTAATGAGAAGGGTTCCAAACAATGGTGTTCTTTTCTGCTAAATCAGGCAAACCATAATGAACGATTAAGGAAGTATGAGCAGATTTGAAAACACAAATGTCCTTTGTGGTACTGTAAACATTGCCTCTCCAAAATCAGGCTGAAGAGCAATTTATTTTCCATTTTAAGAACAAAAATAAAGTGTGTTCTCCGTCTGTACGGAAGAAAATATTAGTCATGGTAGATAATTTTAAAAATGCATCTTCATAAGTCATACATGGCAGTATAGCAAATGAGAAGACATGACATTACACATGAAAGAATAAAAAATTGAATGCAATGCATTTTTTGAACAGACCAGTCAACATGTATAACAGATCTGAAAATACCTGAGGTAAGAATAATTATCATTAATAGTACCCTTTTGGGCCCTGCTAATGTGTTGTACAGAGGCCTTCATGCATATTCCTCTTATCTGCAATTGTGCTCAAGCTCTCGTTGAATTATAAAATAATCTATTGTAATTAAATAAAGGTAACAACTCAGTGTCAAAAAATCCCCAAACCCTACTGACAGTAAAACACCACCAAAATCTCTCACCCCACAATAAAAAAGACTCGATAATGAAAAAGAAAACAACACCTTGAACACTGTTTGAAGTTTGGGTTTCTCATTGCCAACAGGGTCTAGTAAAACTAGAAGGGCAACAAGTATGAGCAAAGACATGGAACAGGCCCTGTGAGAGAAGTTAAGGAGACTCTTTAAGTGGAAAGACAAATATTTGAAGGTATATGATATGCAATGAGAGTGGCAATGTAGGAAAGATGAAATATTTCTAATAGAGAAACTATTAGGAAAACTTGTGGGCAGCAGGCTTGGAGGGAAAAAAAACAACAAAACAAACAAAAACCTCCAAATCAATCAAGTGACACTTCTTCATACAACACAAACTGCAGAATTCACTGCTGTAACTGAAAGCTCACCCAGGTTGGGGGGGACAAAAAAAAAAAAAAAGCTTAGCCATAAATCTGTGGATACTAGGACAACCAATGTGGGAAACATTACTATGTGTGTGTCCCCTT